TAGTTAGGTTGATTTATTATACGTTAATATGAATCTCACTAAAGTTATTTTCAATTCGATGAATGCTGCGTGTATAGGGAATACCAATTCAAAATCAAAAGTGAATATATTAAAATCTTATTAAATCAAGGACAATGATCAAATTGACAGAATCGTATCTATATTACCCGCAAAGATTGGCTATTATACCAATGAATAAAAGACATATTATTTCACAGATGACACAGACTGGTTCGATTTTTAAATCTTGAACGACATTCTCGCAGAGATAACGCACGGGATAGGTAAGAAAACCGTAAGAAAGAAAGATATTAAGGTGATATTGTTGAAACAGCTTTCGTTTAGCTTTCACTTTCTCATAATGGAAAATAGTTGCGCTTATAGTCTTCATTGTAAAACTAATCGGTCAATTTCCCAGACAGCACAGAATATTTATGATAAATATTTATTAATATTCATTTTTTGAAATGTTATATAGATATTTCATACATATTGTATATAAAGCTTTATTCGAAATATTATTAAAATATAGATTAAATATTTTATGTAGTGTTTATGACAAATATAAATAAATATTTCTAATAAGTATTTTTTACTTACAATTAGATTATAATGTCTCATTAAGTATGTTCATGGCATTTACTATCACATTCACAATAAATATTATTTATAATAAATGTTTATAATCTGTGCAATCTAAGATCACAAAAATATTTACAAAATATTTAAAATAAATCTTATAAATATTTATAAATATTTTATAAATATTTTATAAATATTGTGTGCTGTCTGGGTTGCTTCTAGATCCGAGAACTACCTATATAAAAATAAGAAAAACGGGAATGATACAAAAATAGAATAAACAACAAAATCCCGAAAATATTAATTTTGAATTAAAAAATCGATTTTATGTATACAATTTATTTAAAATCTTGAACTCTTTCTTTTATAAATTAATTCTTGGGAGAAAAATGAGAAAATGCTGCATGACACATCCTGCGGAATAATTGACTATTACTGTTCTAACTATTTTTTTTTATTATTATTGAGCTAGACATTGGCACTGCGCATTGATATTGTATTAAGATCAATTTCTGTATTTTAAAAGCGATCTTAATGCTGAAAAATTCCAATTCTTACATGCATCTATCCAATTATCTTTCTTCTTTGTATTTTATTCAACATTATCTGTGATAGTTCCTTGTACTTGTAAGTTTTTAAAATTATAATATTTATAATAAAAATATTAACAATGATACTTATATTATATAAAAGACAAATGTTTATGATATATGAAGTAGTACTTTCTGAATTATTATATTTAAGTAAAATTAAGAAGGGTCGGTATGAAATCAACATATCTACAATATATGACAGGAATGTATACTTTATTTTAATAGATTTCAATATATTCATAATATCATGTCATAACACAATATTATACTAAACGAATAGATTGTACTAAATCATTAATAAAAATAATATTATATGTACATTTCTGTTGTGATTTTCGGAAATATCACATAATATCTAAGAACCGTACATACAATCACAAAAATTCATAAAGTAATAAACATAGGAATTATTGTGTGTTCCATAAACTTTATCTTAATAATTCGCCTATTATTGTGTGTAGTTTAGATCTTTCAACATTCATCTGTAAAAACTATGAAGAGAAACGAATTTCTTATTATTTCACACAGGCGAATCCTATCCGGTCATGCCTCATGTCGAACTCGGTATAAAACCGACGTAGAAATACATCGCCCAAAGTCCACGTTGAATTACCTTCATTCTGATACTCACTCACGAAGGCACTCATACACACCATCTCATTGTTATATATTTCCTACAACGAATCAAATATGGCATGATATTTCGATTCTAAGAAAATTTAAACCGCCACACATTTGAAGATATTTACCCTAATAATATAATCTTCACTAGAGAGTCTGAGTTTTCTAAAACCACCTACAATAAAATCGATATTAGGCAAATTATGAGTCCTTCATACACTCCCATCGTTACATACCTTTTACTCTAAGAAATATATATTATATCTAAATATTATATCTAAATATTATATCTAAATATTATATCTAAATATTATATCTGTTCAGTAATTACTCGCTTTGTTTTATGTAACGTAAAGATAGATCTTATGAATTTATATAGTCATAATAAATCGAACTTTTCCTGATCACGTAAAACTGGTTAACTGGTTTACTAACTGTTCAGTAATCAAATATCGCCTGGTTAATCGCGCATTCAAGACTGTCTCGTAATTATCTAAGGCTGAGTCAGTTGAGTGTAGCGTCACGCGAGGGCGCAGCTTGCGTGACCGCCGCTTTGACAGAGCGCTCTCTTCGCAACGGTTTTCCGTTATTGTGGTGAGTGAAAGGTTGTCACTGCAAAAAGAGTCGATTCCAGAGGGTTGTGGTGTTAGCCTGTGCACGGTAGCATCGTGATCGAGTCGGGGAGATTCAGCAGTATCACAGGATTCTATCGAGGGCAGTAAAACCATCGTGAGTATGGAAGGACGCGGCCTTCCAGTATTAAGGGTTATGTTACACAGAGTCGGAATGTCGCTTGACGCATCCTTCTTAAACGTGACCTTTTCTTTTCTCTCATGTGCCTGACGTTAAATCTCGGGCGGCGGGTTGCTCCCGCCTGTGCGAATCTGATGAATTGGCTCAGATTACCTTCGAACGCTCAAAGCGTTCTAGCAAGCATCAAACGTGATGCCTCGCTCATTTCATGCCTGACGAAGGTTCTCAGGCGGTGCTTAGCAGACGTCATTACTACGATGTCTGACGAGCGGCTCAGACAGTGCGTATATGCGCAATGCATTCAACTTGAACTTCTAATAATGTAGCAGGATGTGCTCCTCGCACGGATAAACAGGGCCTGAGATGCGGCTCAGGCAGCG